TGTCCCATTATTTTGTAGTCGTCTTTATCGGTACACAATTCTGTTCCTCCTCTGCACTGCTGCTGACCTTGCTATTCACTGTCTCCCTCTGCTCAAGCTGGGAGAAAGCCTCTTCGATTGTCTGCCTAACATATTCCCGTGCCTCTTCCCCCTCCACACTCCCGTGTGATCAGTAAGTGTTGGAAACCCTCTGTCTTTCTCCCCTGCATTTCGCCGCATTCCTATCTTTTTTATATATTTCTATCATCCACTACACTTCCCAATTTTGGCCTATGTTAAAGCTGATGCTTCCTTTTTCCGCTCTTGGAAGTTCTCCTTAAGCTGGCAAAACTCCCCTTTTCTTTGCCCACCTATGCTCCGTAGATGCATCTTGGCGCCGTAATATGGCTGCTTTGACCTCCTCATCCCACCAGCTTTTTTGGTTTGTGTCTTGGTTTTTGCTTTCCTTTTTGTTTATTTCGATGCTTCTCTAATTCTCTTTTATAGGTTCTTATTAGATCCTCATACGTCCATTCTCTTTCTGGTTGTTCCGATACTCTGTTCTCAATGCGTTTCGATACTTGTATTTGAGCTTCACTTAGTTTCGGCTTACTTGCTCGTTCTGAGCTTGCTGTTCTGGTCCGGATGCGCCAAATTTAATCTGAATTCTTTTGTGGTCACTTCCTAAGCTTTTTGTACCTCCCTACTCTATTTCCACACCTCCTAACCTGTCACACAGTTTGAGGGACATGAGGCAGTAGCCTATTGTTGAGTGCGAGTTGCTTCGTTCCCATGTTATTCTCCCGTCGCATTTTATTGTGCATTAACACTAGGTCCATGGCATCACAAAAATAGTCTAGTAGCTTTCCGGTTGTATCTGTGAATCCATCAAACTATTCTCAGTGGGCATTCATGTCTCCTATAATTATTTTCTGATGAAGGCCAATTTCTCTGATGTCCCTCGATATACAAGTAAAATGTTCTGTATTTTCCTCCCTTGAGTGATTTCCTGTTTTCAGGCAAGCAAACGCCCGAAGGGTGCTCAGACCTGTTACTTTACCTTTCAGCCATAAGTGTACTCTGCAGCTTTCCTTCTCTCTTTTCCAGTCTTGTCCTTAACTAGCACGCCTAGGCCTCCGCCTTTGCGTTCATCTCCCCTCCGGTTGCATCCCATCCATGAGTGGCCTGGTATGCATGGTGGTTCCTCCTCATCTCTAAAGGCCCGTTCACACACTTGCGGCCTCATAGAACTAATCATGATGTAGAAAACCCGAGACTGTGGTAAAAGCAGAGAAACTTGGTCGAAGAAGAAAGACAGGGGAAAAGAACGTCGCTTCGATGCCACTCGGAAGTAGTTCCAAAAAGTTTCTCAAAATGTAAAGTTTTTTTTTTTTTTTTCTTGTAATAGTTGTAAGTGAACGTGCAATGAGTCATTTTGAGGGGTCATAGCAGTTCTCCATTTAGATAAATCACAGCCTTTCCAGACTCCGGTTGGAAAGGAAGGGGGTCCGTGTGTTTGTTTTGTTCAAGGCACTAAGCTTTCAGTTCGGGATTGAGGTTACTGTTTACGATTGAGGTGAAGGCCAGTGTGGGTAGGACTGTATAGATAACAAAGGTTGACCTTGTGACGTCGGTGGTCGGTGGTTAGGTTGTGGACGTATATAAGACATTGGGGAAATAAACGCAATAGCTGAGTTTGAGACGTTCTTTTTCCCCCGTCTTTCTTCTCAGACCAAGTTTCCCTGCTTTTACCACAGTATCGGGTTTTCTACATCATGAATCCATGATCAACATCCACCAGCTCGCCTGCGCACTCACTGTTTTTTTTTTCATCTTAGAACTAGGTGCCTTGAAACCTCTTACGAGAGGAAACACTGGCGCCATCCATTGGGTAGCTGTATAAACTTGGCGGTCGGGCATATTTTCTATTTCTCTTGCGCATCCTTTCTTTCTTAGCTCGAAAACCTTTTGCCGACGTTATAAACGAGCATTTCTTATAGGTATTACGCACATTTGACCTCGAAAATTCCGCAAAACCTTCGCTCTTGTGAAATGCAGTTGCAGGGTCACCGCATAGATGGCGCCAGCGTGCCAGTGTGTTCGTCTCTCCCTGTTGCTCATGCGGTACTCGCCATCCGAATGCAGCTCCGGAGTTCCCGGTTGGGCCGATAGGGGCGCCGCGTCGCTGGCTTCTCTCTTGTACGTCCATCCAAAGAGCAGATTCGTAGGTCTACCCAGCCGACTCCGACCAAACTGTTATGCTCATATTCGCCGCTATGATTTTCAGCGCAGGCGACGTGTATATGATCTTCGCTACCGAAAGCGAAGCACTCTGGGCTCTTCCGACCAATCAGTAAGAGCGAAGGGAAACGACCGTTTTTGTCTTTTTTGTTTTGTTTGCGCTCGCTCGTCACTCCAAGCTTTCAAACCGTTCCGCGCGTGCTAAAATCGAAAGTGCGGATTATACGGCAGTATGCAGTACGGTGCGACGCTGCTGCGCGCTTTAATAATTAGAGATGTACGTCTCTAATTTGACAGAGATTCTGCCGAGTGTTTTGCGTGCCTCATGACGGCGTATTACGGAGTCTACAGCGCGGCGAAGTAACCTCGGAGTGCTCATTCTTCCGCTTTCCAACAGACGACAGGTGAACTTCTATATCAATTTTTTTTTTTTTTTTTTTTTTTTGTCAGCGTTCGAAACTCGACTTTTCCATCAGAGCATCGAAATGGATTGCGTATGCAAATCGCCAGGACTTTGGAAGCCTGCCCGGGCTGCCCGGCTTGCCGACGAGCAAGCTGCGCCAGCGTCGTTTGTGCAGCGAGCACTTCGGTGCTACCGTTGCTACCGTGTTTGCAAGTTGTGGGAAGATTCGTTTGTGGAAAAACGCGTGCCCCACCGTTCTTGTTACGAATCCGTTGCTGCAAGGACTTTCTCCTTTGGGTGAGTTGCTGTTAATCTTCAGTTAATTTGACAGCTTCGTGTTTATATGTTAGGATAGAGTACCGATAAAGCACCTACAGTCAGAGATGTAGACACTCCAAAACAGTAGTTTCTTTCTTTATTAATTGCATTGCCTATTGGCGAGTTTGTTTATGGTTTATTTATTGTTTATTCTTATGCAGCTCACCTGCAAGCCTTTTCCTTTATTTCGGCGTTGATTTGTTTGTTTGGGTATTCAGAAGTTTAGTTTGTGGGAGTTGTTTATAGAGCATTTAGATAATTCGATGATAAGTGCTTTTCTCTTAGTTTGTACATTAATGTAATTAATTTCGTTTTACATGTTTGACAACTTTACTGTGTTTACTGCCTACTACAGTTCTTGGTTCCCCTTTGAGGGCGGTGGACTGCCGACGGAGTTTGTAGATGCGTGTTTGAAGTACCGCAGCTCATTTGAATGGGGTTCAATAAAAAAATACATTTCAATGAACGTGCTGTTTCTGTTTGATTGCACTGGTAATATCACGTGAAGCGCAGTTGTTGTGAAGTATATCGCGCGCGGCTCGTCTGCTAGACCGGTGCCGTGCTGGCCGCTCACAGTGGCCGGCGCGGCACCAGCCTAGCAAACAAACCAGAAAAAAAAAAAAAAAAGAGAACCCGGGCCCCCCCCCCCCCCCCCCCCCCCCCCCCCCCCCCCCCCCCCCCCGGGTTCTTTTTTTTTTTTTTTCTGGGGGGAAGGGGGAAAGGAGGAGGAGGACGGAGGGCGCACGCCAACGGCAGTGGTGGCGCCATCTGGCAGCCTTTCGAGACCAATTTTAATCTCCGACCAGACGTATGTTCGCCTTTCTGCCACTAGCGCCTCGTGGCGCTAGTTTTTCCTTACCATGGTGGAGGCTACAGCTGCACTCGGCTGGTACTCGCACCCAGGAGCTTCCCCAGACTCTGCTACCGGGAAACCGGCGACAACCGGTGCCCTCCGCGTTCTGTGGTTTTGAGAGTGTACGTCAGTGCTGTCCGACTGCGCTGGGCTATGGGTTTCCCCCTCAGTGGGCTGTGGCAGCCTGCGTAGGTGCGATTCCGGACGCTGATGGCAACTTGTACTGTTTTTAGGAATACATGGGTTGCACTGACGTCACATCGCATACTTTTGACCAGCATTCACACGTGCGGTATAAAGGTGAGGGAAGCCGTTAGTGAGAATTTTCAGTGACGGGTTAATCTTCTGGGAGGAGAATAGCGGCGCCTGTGCAAATCCGGGAGGCATAAAAGAGGGTCCTGATAAGACGGGAGTTCGTTCTTGCCCTCTTCTCTGGTGGTCAACCGAGCGTTCTTTGAATGACGTCACGTGCAACACATGTATAATAAAAAAAAAAATGAAAGCTATTTTTTGTGAGTCAGTGCGCAACCGAGCAAATACAACAATATATATATATATATATATATATAATATCTTGGGGCTAAGTAGGCGGGAAGGCTTTTCGGAGATTATCTCAAGGGAACTAATCCTCAATGAACGTCAAACGGCCCGCGTCGAGGACTGATTTGCATCAAATATGCGGATGAATGAACGGTACTTGTCTTTGCAAGCTTAGACGGTAGACCATGGTACCAAGTAATGATGAGAGCATCATAGCGGCTTACGTCAAAACAAGAGACACAGTTGCACCAGCCGAGAATTATATATCTTTCTTCGAACACGTTACCGTGTGCGTGCATCAATTTTCTGCGATTCCTCTCGTGGCAACAGCTCCTCCGGATTCATATTATCCCGAACGAAGCGAGCAGTACACTACACTGGCATACTGATATCGGTTGCACTAGTTTATCCTAGCTGCTGTCTGCAATCTGCGGTTAAACACCGGCACATTCGGTAAAAGTGTCATTTACTGCTTTACGCGTCCTCTACTGCAGTGCTAAACTGGCAGCCGTGAAACAGAGTTCATGAAACTTCGTCACGTACGTAGGACGATATGACCAGGCATGTTCGTCCCCAACTCAGGTGCGTCGGTAAGCTGGTAAAGTTAAGTACCTTTGTTTTGCACTCGTTTCAAATGTCACAATGTCTGAAATGAGCATTACCAGGTTTGTGGTTCAACAGTAGCCTTTTAATGTCCTGCTATTGTCTTGAGAACTGCAACGACATGCAGCCTCGCTGAATTAGCAGTCCCGAGTGTCCACCCTACTTGCACAGATGAAAGAAAAGTAACCAGTAATGCATGAGATTAGGAAGACAGCAATATCAAATCAGAACCTTGTTTTTTGCAGCACTATCCCCTCCCTTCAAACAGGTACTGAATCTGAAAAAGAAGTCCAGTACTGTCTGCCACAAGTCCCGCTTGGAAAAAAAAATGTTACTGATTATGAAAAAGCATCTAAAAAGACACTGCCAATGAAAGAAATGGAAGTGGCGAAATTCAATAATGCAAACGCCAGTAGAAACAAGAGCGCCACCCATTGTTTCGAGCACTAAATAAAAGAAAAATATATCTGAATCAATGCATAAACACTAACCCAAAATAAATAATTTCATTTACAGTGCAAGAACATCTCAAATAAAGTGCCACACATAAGCTCTAGCATTTTCCAACTTTGCAAATGGCAAAGACACTTACACGTATGTAGCTAAATAATCTTACTATAAATCTGTAGGCTGTAGGCTATTTATCTCAAATAAACAATCCCTTTCCTAAAAAAAAAAAAACTGGAACAATACAGTTTGTACAACAAACACAAAAACTAAGACATTTTATCTGATGCCTTTTTTCCTAAGTGTAGAGAAAATGGTGCACTGCTTTTTTTAGCATAATAGGTAACAAATCACTTCGTTCTGCCAAGCACATGCAGATTATGGATGGGTGGTTTGTCTATTGCACTTTGCACATCCTTTGAATTCCTAAGAAACTTCAGGTTCCTTTCAAATGATACGGCCAACGACACAGCCCGCGAGGCTTTGAAGCATGCAGCCCTTCCTGCAAGTCCTACCAGTTGTGCACATTGTCTGTACGCCCCACTCTGTCAAAATATCTGCTCTACTTATTTTACAAAGGTGCACCCATTATATTTGATGATGTATCACATTATGTTAAAACAACAAAGTCTGAACCCAGTCAGTGAGATTTCCTTTCTGGACAAAGGGCCACAGGAAGCACTAGAGTTTCACAATGTCAATGTCAGTGTGGTACAGTCAAGTCTCACCAATGTAAAAATTTGCGCGTGGGAAGACCAATTTAATAATCATATGAGATACTACTTGCGATAATTAATGAACTCTATGGCCCTTTCACAAGTTCCGACAAAATAGTGGTATTTCAATGTGTCCACATACACAAAAGTTCATATTAACGAGACACGACTCACCACGTGAGTGCCTTTGAAACTAAACCTAGCAATGCATGCGGTGCCCACAAATAATATTTAAAGAAACCTGCAATATTTTCCCAGACCACCTCTGGATCTGTAGAAGGCAGGATATATTGCATTAATTAAGTACAAACTGCCATATAACAATTGAAAAAAAGATTATTTGAGGTACCCAAGAGGAACCGTGCAACTACAAATAAAAAGTGTCTCATAAGTAAAAAAAAAAAACACGACAATGCAGCGTTTTTCTAGAGCAAGCAGTGTTTCAAGGGGAGGGCACCAACAAGCCAACATTAAAATGTAACCACACAAGACAAGGCAATTAGACACTTGCAGCAAAGGAAACTGTCTCAATAGCAACTGTGGTCCACTGCACCATGAGCGTGACTGAAAACGACTTCCAGAGAAACCAAGTGTATGATCTTCGAAAACTCGAAATAAAATACTAAGAAGTGATCCCCAGAGAAGTCACGTCACCAGAAATATACAACTTCATCTAAACAAATAAACACTTAATAACAAAAGGACAGGGTGTGCAATCCTTCAAATTACTGGCCGCAGCACCACCGGCTAGTCAATGCTTCTCCTCACATAAGCAGTGCCGTACCACACAACAAAATGAAAATAGATAAAACGGTTATAATCTCCCTAGTAGGTAAGGCAACATCAAAATCGCAGTCACTTTGTCTTTGCAAGCACACATGCAGATGCAATTTTGTCGAAAGTTCACACTTTGCACAGTAACTTCTGCATCCTGCAGGTAGTCTCTTTTCCTCAGCACCACTGCTCCGCAAAGAAAGCACCTCTTCCATCTCATCTTGGTACTCAATGGTTCCTTGGATTTGGTGTGGCTCCATGCCATGCTGGTTACAGTGCAGGCTATTCAGCATATTGCTGAGTATTTGGAAAACCCTGTTTTAGATTGACCCCTAGAGGGCTGCAAACAGATAATAGGTAACACAATGCTGCTTCTGGGCCTGAGGTAAGTTTACAAAAATGCTGCATATATGCCACAGGTAGTCCAACAATGAGTCTTGCTCTGTACTAATGTTTGTGACAAATGTATTTTTTTTTTGGCCTCACTCTATACCAATGGCAAGCCTGCCTACTATTGGTCCTATCTCATGTCCTGCTGAGCACAATAAATTAAACGTAAGCTCACTCTAGGTATTATCTCTGGCTACATTATCAGGCACTTTGTCCCTATATAAAGCCCCAATACAACAATGTGAATGCACCACCATCACATTATACAATTGTCATCCTCTATCAAGGGTGTGATGCATTCATACGACGAAGAATTTAAAAATGAAAAGTATACTAATACAGTAGTAATTGGAATGCCACAAACAAAATGCAAAGGAATACAATGTTTGGAAGATGATAAAAACAGATGAGATACAAAAAACAAGCATAGCATTTAGTGAATTTGGTTTAGGAAAAAACAAAACAAAAAAAAACACTCCATTTGGCGTGTTCCCGATCAGTGAAGAATGCCTCTTCCAAAACGAGTTACGTAAATGACAACAAAATCCAAATCCCTTTTCAAGTTGGGTTCCTTGCAGCTACTGATTTGTACCATGTGTTGTGTTCAGCAGAATGTAGCTTTCATACTGTTACCCGCTTACTCTGCATATTTTGCGTTGACAAGACTTGTCATCCTGCAACTACCAGAGAGACCCATAAAAACTTTGCAGCCTCCCTCCCTCCCCATCCAAAGAAAAGAAATGCGAGCTAGGGTGTGAAACCGAAAGGTAATTAGTTGTAACTTTTCACCTATGCCAGCGTAATTGACAAGGAATTTATTTTTGCGGCAACCTCGATAAGACAAACAATCTTTGCCTGAAGGATCAATGTCCGGAGTCCAGTTAGTAGTACCAATACGTTCTACTCGCTCTCCCTCACCCAAGGGACATCGACACCTAAACAGCCTGCACTGCACCCAGCCATCGGAGCATGTCTCAACAACTCGCATCTTGAGGTTTTTCTGGGAGATCTCTGAGAAGTGGCTGCGAGTGGCGTTCCCTCTCCTCGTGGTCCGGAGAGGCCATGCTTCCGCCGGCGGCACCCTCGAGATCTTCGGCACAGTGGTGTCCGAGCGGAAGGACGTCCTCCTTCTGCTCGGCGTCGCCCCAGCCGAGGGAAGAGAGACGGTCCAGCGAGACGATGGACGACACGATCTCGCCCACGGTCAAGGGCGGCGCTTCCTTGAGTTCCCGCTTGTGCCGCCAGGTGATGAGCAGCCAGTCGAGGAAGAAGAGCAGCCCCGCTGCCACTTTCAGCCCGGAGCACACGGCTATGTACCTGGCAGCAAGGAATATTGCGCCAGGTCAGAGCCACATACCTTTGTTATGTGCACACTGCTTCGCGTCTAAAAAAATATATATATATTTCCGTGAAATTGGAGTATGAAGGACCGTTTGCAAGGGCGAGTGCCGTGAGGTAGCTCTCGAACGAGTCCAACACTTGCATGGTCGTTAAGAAAGACAACCTGGAAACTGCATCGCCAGAATTGGACGTCCTTAGCTGTAGCTTATTCTCAAGTAGTACATGCTGTCCGAGAGACATTTAAATTAGGCATGCTATGTACAAAATAGAAAGCGCGTAAAATATGTATAAAGTGTATGTCTGTTGATCACATTTCACACGGTTCGAGCACAGAAATATATGAAGTGCCAACAAACAACAGACTGTAGCCAAGGTCCCTCATGCATGTCCTTCCAGTTCCATAGTAAAATGTGTATTAGGAAGTGCAAGTGTGGAGAAAAATCCCTAAGAGCTGTGGCATTAAAAAAAAAAAAAATGTTTGCCAACATCTAATTGATTTATCTGAATACTGTAGCAATCAAATGTGAAGACCTACCCTCCCCCGGCTTCTAAATCGTTTTTCTGAAGTCAACATAGAAACAATGAGCGAGTCCCCCAATTTCACGAGGGCACTTAAGACTTCTTAGGTGTAGGAATGCAAAAACATTCGTATACATAGCAAATTCCTACAAGCTGCGTGCCCCGCTATCCTCTGCAGAGGCCGGCCGGGCAGCCTCTGTGGACGCCGGCCAGCCGGGCTCCGAGGAGCGGTGGGTGTGCGCTGCTACGGCAGTGCACGGGAGCAGCACCAGGAGTGTGGGGTGGCGCTCCTTGAAACTATCCGGCGCGCGGGATGCGTCACAGCTATTTTAAGAGCCACTTCACAGAGGGAATTTCTTTGCCGTTTTTCGCAGTTACAGACAACGCCGGCTTCGCTCCACGGGACAGTTAATGCTTTTGTATTAAAAAGCATTAGGCACTATTAGGGGCTAACTGCCAAGAAAGGCACAAAAGAGCCCATTGCTTTCTGAAGAATGAGCGCACCAAGGCTGGAAGAAGTAAACATACTTTAGCCTAAACTGTTCGATGTTGTAAACTAAGCAGAACCCTCCAGGCTTGCCACAGTGAGCCTTCCGAAGAATGCAGGACGAGTCAATCACATTTCCAAACATGATGGGAGCTGGGATGTAACCTGCAATTAAAGGCAAACAACATGACACATTTCCTCCGACAAGACCTTAGACAAGAATGTTTAGAAACGAACCACCCCACTTGGGGATGAAACCATCAGACATTGTTAGGAGCAAGCATTAATCTCCAGACAAATTAAATGAAGCTGAAAAGCTTACCAAACAGCCGGAAAATCACAAACTGCATTCCCAGAGCAAATGACCTCTCTTCTTCACTGACAGACCTAGGAGAGAGTGGAACTGAGTTAACTTTGTAATATGTCGCAAAACAAACAGACTAGCAAAAAACAGTTCCTGACTGGGTGACAGTCAAGTCAATATTTACATTATGGGGAAGGACAAATTTCAAGCACATTAATTTGAGAAAGAGGCCAGTGGACACAAATGCATCCTCCTTCACTGGTGCCTCTGAAAATTCTATCTTTCTAGCTCTTCAAGTTATGTGCCTCTTAATTTTGTTTTCTGAAAAATCTGTAGGGATGCCGTCTCCCACGACATCCTTGAAGCTGTGGCAGGCATAACGCCTTTAAAAGTAGTGTTCATTACCAAGTAAAAATCATCTGCTGAAAATTATGAGTGAGACTTTTCCACAGAAGGTACATGAAAGCTAAAGGTAGCCTACAACAAAACTGAAAGAACTGCCACTAATATTTTGCCCGCAACCCACAAAAAGCATGCAAATGTGTGAAGGCCTTACGCACAGTTGCGTTCGAGTACATTTTACTGCACTGTGTCGAGAAAAGGCCACAGGCCACTGGGACATTCGTGCTTCGTATAAAGCGAAGAAACCAATTTAAGACGTAGTAGCTTGGGACGCGACATACGAAGCACGGGTGTTCCTGCTACTCGCAGTCGAAGGGCAATCAAATGAAATTGTGTGTATGGACCTTAACAGGTTTGCCAAGGAAAAACACTACTTACCGTAGTATTATCATCAGCAATGGCATCTGAGTGATGGAGACGACCAAAGTCATAGCAAACAGAAGAACCATGAAAGGTATGAAGGCAAGGCAAGGCTGCGGACAAGGTCCACTTGTTGCCAATGGAACCGCCGTCACTTCTGGGCTCACCGTCACATTGGGCACAATACAGGCACATGAAGTGTAGTTGAGCTGCACAGAATAAATGAACAAAAAATGCACCATGCAATTCACATGTGCAAATGTACTGTTCAAGTCTGACTGACACTGAACTAATTATAGACCTGTTTCCAGTATGAAGGAAGCATGATGAGCAGTTGCGAGAAGTATCTTGGTCAATTAATATGCAAGTGCATTATAATCGTTTCGAACAGTATTCAAAAAATTTTTCATATATATGTATGGTGCGCCCCAAACTTAACGCTGCCATGAGACGATCCGGTTTCTGCACTTTTTGAGCTATTCCTGAACCTAGCGATCGAATTAGTTGGTGAAGACTTGCGTCCTCGATGAAACCCAACCAGGGGAAGGAATTCCAGTAGCTGCAGTGACCAATTTATCTTTGGGTAGCATGCAATAGATTAATATTTGCGTAACCGAGTGGCGGCGTTAAGTTTGAGGGGCACTGTACCTTGCCCCACACAGAACGGTAGTCATAGTCATGAACATTCTAGATTTTCTCACTATAAAGAGTATAACTGTCATGCTGCTGCTGAAGAAAGCACTGGATGAGGTCAAATGGCTCTATCACGTCATTTATGCTCTGGAAACAAGAAAACGGGTGGATTTATACTTGTTCTCAGACATATTGAGTAGCCCTCAAATCAAACAGATATAATTGGATCTAAGAATATTAGAAGTGGCAAGGGGCATGCTACTATGTAGGTAAATACCAACATATAATCTTTACGCATTTCATTTCTCCATTTACGTCACCTCTCAGGAGCACCAGGCCTGTCAAACAGATAACTGACATTTACATGGTACTTTGCAGGTGTTATGCCCATTTCAGATTACATAGCTTATCCCCCTGGTTCATCCCTCTGTTCACAATCAAAGCAAAGAGAGCATCAAGAATTCTCTGCTAAAACATATTTCACAGGTCGGCCCCTAAGGAAGGAAACTCTCAAGACACTGCTGAAGAATCTAGCATTCATGTTGTGTGATAATATACTACTCACAAAGCCGGTAAGTCGGGACAAAAAAAAAACATCCCAATAGAGTCTCATAATGCTCATAAAATTGAAACCTCACAGTCTCTAATTAATAGTAAGATGTGTTTCTTGGGCCACAAATATTAAACTGGTAATGCGCGTGCCACCACGGTGTCCCCTGTCCAGATCAGGAGTTTGCTGCAGCATTTTGAGTCAAACCAGAAGTAAATACAGTTGAACCTCGATTTTAAGAAACCCAATTTTACGAATTTCCCGATTTAACAAACAAATTCGGATTTCCCGCGCAGCCTATGCTGCGCAGGAAATTCAAAGTTCCCGATTTAACGAAATAATTAGCGGGTCCCGGCGACTTCGTTAAATCGAGGTTCAACTGTAAGAGCAGATGCCAGAGACGCCTTGCTTCCTTTTGCTTTGCCCATTCGATCGAATCAAGAACTGGAAACTCACGTGCAAGCCGTGGCCTGCTCCAGAGCGGCAGCCGGCATGGCACGGGGAGAAGTAGGTGATTCCATTGCGGCCACACACTGGCTCGATGTCATTGGGAGAACACCGGCAGCCCATGTTGCAGTCGGCCGTCAGATTCACTTGAAACGTCTCCAACTCGCTGCTGCTGCAAGGTCCAGGACAATCCCGGTTCAGTACAAACCTTTCACGCACAGTCAAAGCATTGATCATCGAGCAACAGAAATAGTCACGAAGCAGCAAGCCTTCGCTTTTTCTGTGCATTGTTATTAACTCTTTTTTTCTATTGGAAAGTGTCAGGAATTACAAAAAAGGTACTAGTTGGCTAATTAATTACCTAGCAATTATACAAACTTTTTAATTAGTGAAGACAAACATACAGTTCAAATTAGAAACTTGCCGAGCATCATAGAAAACCCCTAAACCAGTCAATTTTAGGAAGACATAGCACGCATGAAGGGCAGGAGTGCGCTAAAATTACCACTCGTGCAACAGGCACAAGGCTGGCACTGTGAAAGTGCAGATGACATTTTTACCATCTGCTTTTTCTGCATCGCCAGCCTTGCACCTACTGTTTGACGAATTGTAACTTTAGTGCGCACCCGCACTTCACACACATTTTAAGTCTTCCTAAAATTCACGGATTTAGGGCTTTTCAACAACACTCAGGAGGTTTAATTGGAACCATGTTTATTTTCACTAAATAAAAAGCAAATTACTAAATTTTAGTAACCTATATTTAACTAATTAGCAAGTCTTTTTGCAACCCTGACGTCCACCGTGGCTGGCAGTTTGTTTCCTAAAAGAGTTTTCGTTTTCTCAACCACCCTATTTGTAAGAATTTTTGAAAGCCTTTGCTGAAACACTTGGTATATTATTATGTTACGCATCATTTCAGCCTGCAACAAACTACACTGAATGCCACAGGTTGCCAGGTCCAATCATGGGCCAGTTAGAAACGATGTGGTACACTGTTCAGACTTGTTTATCGGGGAGCCACACTGATGCACACATTGGAGTGATCTGTCACGTGGCTCTAGCCGACTCGTGATTAGACCTGGCGGCTCGCGGCTTTAGCTGTAATTCATAAAAGAACGAGGTGAAGCATAGAACTGAAAGCAAAAGAACCTCTTTGGTGAAGTAGAGTACACCGCAAGAGGTCCATGCATGAAAAAGGCGGCCTATGCAATGCACAGAATTTCGCAGGTTACAGGAAATGTCTTTAGACACCTACGTTTTGCAACACAAGGTAGAGGGATCAGTGATTATCAATACCATATCATGACATAAGGCAATGGGTGATTTCATCTCAAATCGGGCAGGCTAAAAGGGTCTAATTTTTAATTTTCACGAAAAAAATATATGTTCTGGGGGCATTTTTCAAAGGAAGGAGGGCGCAAACCGCATGTTCTCTCGATTTTTTGTTCTCGAGGTACGAGCCGTAGAAGACTCAGTGGCAGAAACTAGTGTCTTTGCCTGCCGTCGCAGGTCGCAGGTCGTTTCGTGAAAATTAAAAATTACTCTTTTAGCCTGCCCGATTTGAGATGAAATCACCCGGCAATGTATGTCAGTATAAAGAAAGATCAAGAAAGCATCAATGTTTCCTGCATCATGGAAACACCAACGATTGGTGTTTCCATGATGCTACTACCTCACTCTCAAAAACAGTTGATATTTCTGGATCTAGCGACAGCCTGATCTCAATGAAAGTGTCAAGGCAACTCTTTCCCGGAAACCCCGGCAGCTTAATCTTCATTCAAAGATACAAGCATCGCTATTTAAAGTATAGATGTCGCATAATATCCTCACTTGTTGAAGTAAGGAAGTGTGGCTCCAGCCATCCGAATGTTATCACAGCCGAGGAAGTACAGCAACGTGTACAGTCCCATGCATAGCAGATTGAAGAACAGCACAAACTGGATGGCTCCTGGGCAGAAACAACAGAGAGGTACTATAATCAGAACAAGTCCTTAGTCACGTCCATGGTGGAGGAAAAGAGGACTGCCTGAATGTCACGGCCTCGCCATGGAGCAAGTACAGTGAAAATTTGCTCGCATTTTCTGGGAAACGTTGTGAAATGGTGCAATGTGCCTAGGGGTATCTTAACGTGCATCAGGGGCCGACTAGAGCCAAGGAGCAACCGTCCTTATTTGCGCACGCCTTTACAAGGCCGTGTGACGACCTGCACAAAGGCCCCTGAACCAACAGTGCCCCAGCTGGGAGACGCATGAAGCCGAAGTAAACTTTTGCCGTAATCTCGCCACGAAACTTAAAAGATTTCTGGCATGGGAAACCGAACACAGACAAGTAAGAGAGCAGACAAATGTGGCACACTCATAGACACCCTCAAAAAGGGTTGTGCATGAGCTTGGCAGAAGTAAAAAAACTTGTTTCAATCCTTGGGGGGGCAATACCGAATTAACAAGTCATATTGAAAGCAAGCATCACTCGAAAGCTTGGTTACATCTGTAGACATCTGTGCCATACTGATCAGCGTCGAAAATACCTACGATACAGATCAGAAATTGGAAGGAAAGGTTGGACGTCACCTTTAAAGGGGTACTCCGGCGATATTTTTGGGCTATCCCAACTAGTAACTATATTTTCGGAAGCACCGGCCTTTACCTTCTCCAGGATGCTATATAGTATCGCGAAATTCAAAATAGTGAAATCGGCACGTGAAAATGATGCCAAAACAAACGTTCAAATATACCTGCGATTTTCAGTGCCATGCCTCAGCGGAAGGCAGGCTCGCAGGTCGAGTGGGCAGTTTAAAAATGAACTATGCGGAGCATCATTTGAGCATTTGTTTTGTGCTGCTGCGTGCGGGTGCTGGAGGGAGCTTCTAAAGAATTCATTTGGCACCATGAAACTGCTTGTAATCAGTTGGGAACAGTCTACTGCTCAAAGAGTGAACCCATGCATTCTCCTGACGTCACTTTTTCACTGTTGCCAGTAGAGAATCGCTTTAAAAAACACGTTGAGGATTAAAATTGTAAATTCAGTAACTTTGCGAAAAAAAATTCTGGCCCAATATTTGGGTCACTATCTCAGCAATGTATGTTAGTCTGTCTAGCAAATTCTCAGGCAATTCGGAAGCAAAAGAAACGCTGGAGTACCCCTTTAATTAAGAGGATCCGGACAGGCAAAAAATAAAATATATGAAATAACTAAATCACTAGAACCCATTAAGATGAGACTTTATTTTTGCAAAGTTTGCTTTTGTAAACAACATCTTAGATAAATTCAGTTTAATCGCAGGACCCTGAGGAAGGCCGCCATACAGGAAGGCTGCAATGTTCGAAAGAACGGTGACATAGACTGCCTCGTCTATCCATATATCACGCATACTGTAAACGACTTATTTTTCGTGGGCTCAACATTTCGCGATTTAGGTTAAAGCTGAAGTTTTGGCATAATTTGCGGGTTGTAATTTTCGCGACACGGAGGGATCTGAATATAGATTCCAATATGTTTGTATTTTTCTGGTATTGTTTGCGGGACCTATTTTTCGTGAATGGTAGGCAATTCGCAAAATTTGCGATAATTAGGTCCTCGCGAAAATTAAGTAGTTTAGAGTATATCTTGTACACATCCTGCATATCCTGCATATATCTCCCGCTAATATCACGCATATACCTCTTACATGCACTCGCAGACCCAACACTCTCGGAGCTTAAGCCGCCTCAACTTCCTTTCCCCTCTGCGTTTCAAGCCGATAAAGTCTACGGCCATGGAGCAGGAACCAGAATCAAGAGGTCATGCTTCGGCATCGTTCGCAAAGATTTCGACGGCTGCTACATGTCCGACACTGATCTCCGCAGCATTAAGGTGCAACCCCACCGTGCATGACGTTTTGGTGTTTTTTTGACAGCTTATAAGTTTCCGACCCAGCACTTTTTCGTTCAGAGTTAACCACATATATTTTAGCTAATTAAAAATCTGTAACAATGTTATTTCCTTGTGAACTGGGCACTGTATCTATATTTTGCATTACTCGAGATGTTAACGGATGTGTGTATTATTATTTTTTATGTCATTATGTGCTTTATGTCATCCAGCTGTGCAAATGTTTGGTTTATTTTGATGCATGCAGGTGTGTATTGTTGTTTGTATGGAGTCGGCGTGCTCACTGCCATTCCTTATTCGTGTTAATCAGACTGTATAGTCCCCCCTCATGTAATGCCGACAGGCCTTTGAGGTACTTTGAATAAATAAATAAATAAATAACTTTCTTTCTATGTGTCTTACAATTATAAAGTTAATTTCAAATTAAAAAGCTGTTTTTCAACAATACTTTAATGTCTCCATATTATGATTATTATTAGTTGTTAGTTAATTACTCAGCTTTTAATAAACCACAGTCTCTAATATTGAAAAAATTATTTCTCGAGTTATAACGTCCCATCATCCACGATATTTTACATGAGCGTTCGGTTAGATGCAATAAATTAAATAAAAGTAAGCAATGAACTGCACAGATAATGTATGTTTTAAGATAAAAAATAAAGTGTAAAATGGTATTATTTTATGACGCTATAAAAATGGAATCACGTCAACTAATCAAAATAGCGAGACATTAAATTATGAAGCATCCTTCAATTATCACATTTTCCAGAACTTCCATATTGATATATTACACGTTAAGAATCACGTTTTCCTGGAAATCCACAAAGAGCCAAACACATGCACGACTAAAGGGCCGGGCCCGTCACATTGCCACCCGCAGAGCCGAGAAAGCAATACTCAGTCACTGACTTCTAGAAGATTCGTGTCCGTTCCTGCATCAGACATAACTTTCACCCTGCTTTCTTGTTCTCGAATGTGCCAGTTCATCCTCACCCCGAGTACGTGACGCTCGAACCTTCTTTACCGAACTTTCGAGATGCACTGTAGATAAGCAGCTACCCGCGACCTTGTCGAGTCAGTCTTGCTCTCCGTTACGCTGCCGAATCACCGCCTGCTTTTCTGCTGCCTTGACAATCTTTCTTTACTTTTTTTTTTTGTTTGGCACGAGTTCGCCGATTAAACCTTTATTTCCCGTTCACTGTTCGTCCTCTCGTCACCTTCATTCGTGTCAATATAAATCTGATCACATTGAAATATGTGTAATTGGCCTCTGAAATCTCTGATAACGGTGCACAAGCAATTTTATATTTTTCACCGCATCGGTGGTTTTGTTGTGCTTGTGTCCCGCCATTTGGCTCAGGACGATTTTCGCGTTTTGTTCTGCCCACATTTGCTGGAAACGTGAGCTCGGAGCGTAGGCAACTGACTTCCTTGCACAAGAACTGATGCAGCCGTGCACGTTCCGGAGAAAGCTCGTGCAGAGAAAAACAAACAAGAGACCAGGGATGTCAAATTCAGGGTACAGAAAAATACCCCACTGTATCAGGGCGCCACCACAGACGATTTCTTGCATTGATGTACAGGCCTGGAAGGCGACACCACCGCCATCTGTTGGTTCAGAATTACACTAACCAAGGGTGGGGTTGCACCTTAAAGGGATGCTGAACCGAAATCTGGATTCCACAAAACACGTGCCAAAAGTGTGCAGCTACAAACATCAAAGCATCACTCATACAGCGATATCTCGAATGAATGACCATATTTTTCAAGAAAAGGAGGCGCATTTGACAGAAATGTACACGTCATGTCTTTCCGAAAAGAAGACTGAACGGCCTCTTGTCTTTTCCGCGTCGCCGCCTTGAGGGAGCGAAGCGAAGAGAGGAGAAAACTAGGTATCTTCACGTCACGCGCCTCATCGGCCTGGTTCAATCTCGACCTCTTTTTCCAAAAATATGGCCGTCCATTCGAGATATCGCCTTACGAAAGGTGTTGCAGGGATTGTAGCGTCCCACCTACATCTCCTGCATTATTTTTTCTGAAATCCAAATTTCGGTTCACCATCCCTTTAATGACAGCGACTACCGAGACACCTTTGAAGTTGGCCATTTTGACTTAGGTGTGGCGACGACCAACTCAAGTGACCACAGCAAGACCGCTGTGGAGGACGACGATGACATCATTGCGGATGCTGCTCAGAGTGCTGAGAACACTCAGTGGCACGGTTTGCACTGGCTTGACGTAAAAGGCTAAACAACTTGAGCGCGGGTCGGAAAGATTTCTGAATTGTGACTTCCAAGATTCTCATCGTGGAAAGCACTGAAAGTTATGACCTCCAAGATTCCCAGCGTGCACAGCACGTGTCCAATCATTCCTTTACTGCGAGTTCAAGCACCAGCAGTCTTGAAGATTGCTACTTCATGCACTGGTGATCTCGGAGGTCATAATTCAGTTATTTTTACAGTCCATCGTGCAACAGATGGGAAGTTTTGTCATACGTGTGTCTGGCACTATACTTTTTTACATATCTCATAGGATCCTTCGGGAACCGGCAAAACAATAGCACTGGCTGCTCTCTCCGTGTGTTCTGACATTCTGCCTCACAACGGAATTAGTGTGACTGTATTGGAACTTCTATTTCACTGGTGGCTATTCTAGCATTACTCATGGCTCTCCTTGGCAGCCAAAGCATTCCATCAGGAAGGAAACCGGCAGACAGAGATAGGCATGCAGGTGGCAGGCTAGGAGGCAAGGGAAGTCAAGTGGCGTGCGAGTGTGATGGGCACAGGTAAGCTTAGAATAAGAGATCGTTCAACCATATGATTACAATCATGTGTTTCATGGACGTCATGATGTGACCACTCTGGGCGGATGATGTCGGAATTTTGTCAGGGTTCCCAATTGCCACACGCAAATTATCGACATCAAAAAATGTATTCTTGTAATTACTAGATTTAATTCTAAAAATCGCGAAACTTGGTGTGAACACTAAGCAACCTATAAGCATTTCATATCAAGAGTAATCCACCTGTTTAAATTCTGCGGGCAGATATCTTCGCAACTTCCAGCGATGGTGGTACCGCGGTGTGAGAATAGCGCTCCCTAGCTCCTGGATGATCGGTTTCACAATAAAGGTGTTTCCCAACACCTTCCTCACTTGAAAAAATTAAGTAAGCCTCTAACACAGCTCGTATATTGCAAAACTATAATTACTTACGCGTCACAAACCCAGACTCATACTCCTGTTCTACGACAATCATCCAGATGACAGTCATTTTGATGGGTACCAGCGTGCCCTTTATAGTTTGTGAAAGTTGCAAATTGTACAAGTCCTTAAAACAATTCAAGACAAAAATAAAAGGACACAGAGGTCTGCAGTTCCACAGATCTCAAGCATAGCTCCATCCCACAGGTTACGTGATCACCAATCTTTTTGAAAAAGTATACACATATTTAAAAAAAACAAAAAAGAAAACAATATTTTTTAAATTAAATACCGACAGTTATCTGTGCAAAGGAAGCTAACAAAGAACAAGTACAGTATTTAATGGATCACCTTTTGGTCGCATCTGGAACTTCTTCAACACATAACCACCAAGAAATATCCCAACACAAGCTCCGGGGATAGCGATGCCACCTGCGCAGATAAACAGAAAAAGGATAGAAATCTATACAAAACAAACTTGTAATCATGCCGAGATACCTGGCTCAAATACTAATTCCAGCAAATATACGACCAAATAAAATTTTACACTGCCCTAGAATATGGTCTGAAACCACTTAGAAGTCATGCCACCAAGAAACTTATTTGAAAGAAAATAATCTGGACTTATTTTACTAGTTGTTGCAGCTACCGTATAATAAGGGCGGAACACCCACCGCATTTTCACCGAAAATTGCATTCATCTAGACATGGGCGCTTGTCCGGTCAAGTCGAGCGCTTTACACATAATTTAAGAATTCCCAAGTTTGAAACATTTTAATAGTGGCCACCTGAATGAAGTGAGTGCTTCCACGATATTTCACAGTATAGTAACTGCACCATACTTTCACACTGCAAAGATCAAACACACATCATGTTTTCTAGTGCAAGCTACCCCTGTTAGATGATTGCCAATTTGCAGTCCTTTAGAGCACTGCCTACTTGTGAACATCACAGTTAAGATACTATTCCAAAAACCCGCATAATCTGTTTGATCTGAGTAGAGGATTGATAGTTGCTGGCCTCACTTATAAAAAATAGAGTTGACCAAACCGTTTTACTGCCCTAGTTTATATTGCATATCTAAGCACATCTTACCCACCTAACAGGTTTCATGGTTGCCTTTTGGCAAAGAAGTTAAAATGAGAAGCCTGCTTTTGAATGTCTGAATCAATTGGCTCTCCCATATGTGATTCTAAAGACTCGCCGCCAGCATTTGTGAGTGTGACAACGTAACCCACCTGTGAAGACGTTTGCCTGCGACTTGCCAATGTTGAATTGAGTCTCCAGGTACTTGGGCAGGAAGACAACAAAGCCACTGACAATGGCCAGCTCCATGCATGAGCCCAGGCATGTCACCATGTAGATGGGGTTGCATAGCAGGCGCCACATAGAGGCTGGGATGTCTGGCAGAAATCAAACAAACAACATGCCTTATACCTTTTACTATGTAACTTGACTATAGACTGCGCAAAAAATCCTGAGAAATTGCTTTTTAGGAGCCCTAGCACAATCTGACAAAGGTGCTCTTGAACTAACTGCCTTTGGTCGGATACTTTCCCTGTCGAATTCCAAAGAATCAGAGATATCACAAGGCAAGTGTTTATGATACCTTGAAAGAGATTATGTTGCGGGGGTGGATGTGATGAGTTGATAATCTTTTTTTTTCTGTGCAACAATGGAAGGCAAAAACTCCTCCAAATCCAGTGTGCACAGTATTGTATTAACCTCACTGCATGCCAGGGCACTCGCATGCTTGCAAACAAACTACCCTCCCTTTTTTTGCGCTCCGTTGGGGAGACCATGCTTTTTAACAAAATTCAGTAAGGTTTATATTTCAAAAACTGCTCCTTGGTCCCTTGATCTGTGGCGCACATAAAAGAAAAGCTATGCCATTTTAAAAGACTTTAGAGCAAATCTCATCTGCTAAGCCAAATTTAGTACCGTAAAATACCAGGCATGCGCCCACTCAAAATTTTGAGATAATCATGAAAAAATGGGGGATGGGCGCTTGTCCGATCATCAATTCTAGATATAAATGTACTGTGCATATTTTCTCAGATCTTACAAATTTGGGTTGGGTGCTTAATGTGGTATGGGTGGATGCACGGTATTCTACGGTATGCATTTTTAAACAAATAGTGCTTCAAGTAGCACATCATCTTTGCTCTTGACCCAAGGAATTTCAGCCCCTTCTTCAAAACTTTTGGTGAAGGGTGCAATATTCTCAAGAAATGTGCAAACATGCTTTTAAATTGCCAGTCTGTCAGCAAATATTTCTAAAACTATTCAATTCCTATTAGAAACAACTAGGTATATATTTTGAACAAGCTCACTAGCCACAATGATTCTGGCAGCTTTGATGGCCAGGTGAGAAATAAAACAAATGATTCAGAAGCAGCATTGCTCAATTACATGCCAAAATGTGAAATCATTTTCTGCAAGGCAGAAAAACCTCCCTTAGTGTCCTTCTCTCCATTACATTTTCCCCTCAACCTTGAACAAAGCATGCGGGTCCGGGAACTAATCCTCACATAAAGGAGGAGTGCTGTCTCCATTCTAGGAGGGAAAGGAGGGATCAAGGGATGGCTTCTGGCTGCATATCATGCCTTAAAGCTTCTTTAATAACCTTTGGACATCATGGTTGTGCCATTTAGAAGCACCTTGATGAAAATGTGTTCTTTCTGGAGTCTATTCCTTCCTGCAATCTATTCAAGCATTTATGCAATTCGTTCTATACAGAAAAAGTGCTTGGAGACATGTGAGAGTCACTCTTGTGTGTTTCTATACATTTTAAAGCACAGGTATCATCACTTGAAAGCAAGTCCTAGAGGAGTACCTTTGATATCCCTGCCATACTTCTGCTTGTCCGGTATTTCGTGTGTGGAAGAGTGCTGTTGTGCCCCTGACGGCTTCCACACGTCCACCTTCTGGCCCAGCCCAACCAGCTTGGTCCCACTCAAATATTCCTCCTCTCTCTTCAAGCGCTGCTTTTCTCTTTGCAGAGACTTTGGAAATGCAAAGAAGGGAACGGCAACCTGCAGGGCAAAAGGAAACAATCACGACAGCTCCCATGGCTCATTTCAAACAGATCACAAACCATCACACACCACCTAGAATGCAGTGATAAGTTTTATTCATGTAACAATTTTGTTTCCATGGCATTACATAATTTTTTAAGATGATATGTAATCTGCAGGAGCAATTCAGATTTTTCAGGTTACAAAACACCACAATGAGGAGAGGATTGACAAAGGAGTTAGAAGGCAGGTGAGCTTGTTGAAGATATGAGTACCAAAATATGGGAGAAAGGATGACATAAAAAAGGGGATGCATGCAACATGTTTCAACCTATGAGGTCAAACTTATTACATTTTATCAGACATATGTGGAATGCATTACTAGTAACGAGTTACTTCTACCTAGTTACTTTTTTCGGTAACGAGTAATGCATTTAGTTACCTTTTTAGAAAAGGAACAAGCAACATACTTGGTTACTTTTAAGGGCAAGTAACAAGGAACAGTATTCCGTTACTTTTGAGGAGTAACATCTACAACAATGTTTAAACAGCCTCGTTTCAATCCTAACCTGAGTGTGCATCTATTGCGACAAAGGCAGATGGGCAACCCGAAGGACAACTAAACAGTATGACAGTATAGCAATGTTTGTCGCTGAACACGTCAGTCGAACTCCACAGCTGGGAATGTCCTTCACCAACAGAACACAATAGCGTTCGTTGGTGGAGCCTTCTAGAATCGTGAACAGACCAAATGTAAACTCAGAGGTGGCCAACACAGGAAGAAACAGAACCCATTGTCAACTTAGAACTTCAGAAGCAGAGAGAACAAAAGATAGAGGGGAATCCCAGATTCACTGGCTCTTCCTGAAGTACAACACTGCCATTCCTTCGAGCGCGTCAGTTAAACAATTCTTTAGCATTGCCAGAGATGTATTCTCAAGGAAGCGGGGAAACACAATTGATGAAAACATCGAGAGGCAGCTACTGCCAAAATGCAACGATTACTGAAAAGAAAGCATGAAACCATATGAAACAAAACCAGTTGCATACTTGGCTGTCAAAGTAATGAGAAAAGTAACTCGCTACTTTTGAGGTAAAGTAATGCATTCCTTTTGAGAATCAGTAATGAGCAATGTGTTTAGTTACTTTTTGAGTGAGTAATGAGTATCGGTATTAAGTTACATTTTTTGGGTAACTATGTATAGAGAGCTCTACATGGGGCACCCAAGATACATTCTGAAAGGAAATACAGTTATTTCTTTGTTACATCTAATGTTACCATTTGCAGCACTGCTTTTGGAGGCCCTGTATATGCAACCTGTTACCATGCAGTCATACTCTAGTTCTGTTTTTAACCAAAAAAGAAATAAAATGACAGTCTTTTGAACAGAAGAATCAGTGCTCTGGTACCTCAACAACAAAGCAGGTAGACGTAGCAGACCTTTGTGTGCTGAAACAAAATATTGGTCTTATTGCCACAGAAGCCTATGCAACTTTTTAACAGAACGTGTGGCCTGGATGTATGCCTACTGTAGGCTAGTTGCACTGCATGTAGAACATGCAAGCACTGCCTCCAGCAAGTTATTTGCCAGGCTTTACATTGGTGGCATTAAAACACTGAAGTGGCATGGGTGACTATCAAAAGGACATCAAGAAGTCCACTGAGGAATTGGTAACTGATTCTGTTAATGCACCACAGCTCAAAGCACCTAGAGCAATAACTCGCGCTGCAGAACCCAGAACCAGGGGTCAACCTCGACCTTTTCCTATTTCAGCCTGGATTAGCATTCCACTGGCATGGCATGCATCACTACTGCTTGATGCACGTTCAAGATCCCAGGCCAGCAATCGTATTGCACTGGCTAAATTTCTCACTACAGCACAGACACCAGACACCCATTGGTGCTAATGAACTTGACCCCTTCTCAAAGGAGTATCTTCATATGCAATATTCATTCCAACTATTTGCTTTCTAACTAAGCACTAAAAAAGAAACCTCATAAAATCCCCAAAATGGCAGCCAATATGTCGCTCAGAATAAGGTCAACTGCCATCCCGAAGTATCCAAAAGGTTCATTTCCGAGTCCTAAGTAGCAGAAGCTATTCTTGTATTGTTCTTGTGTAAACAAGTGATTCGAGCATGTTTAGCAGCAATCTTTATTTGAAGAGAATGCTTGCTGCATGTCAACTGGCCTTCACAGTAGCAGAGCATGATGGCATTCAGAGCATGGGTATAACTCAATGCAAGTAGAATAACAATGCCCAGCATGTACACTACATCACTAGTGACTCGAGATGGTTGCAAGACACTCACCAGCACGAGGAAGATACCACAGAGCACGAAGCCCGCCCACCAGGCTCCGATCCAGCGTGCACTGCCTGGGAAGATGCCTCTCGGGGCCGAGCCCCCGATGAAGGCGTTTTCGTGACGGGAGAGGAGGAAGCCTCCCAGCAGGTAACCCACCACAAGGCCAAATGCCACGGTGCTGTACATGCAACCTGGGATTCGCAGAAAGTGCACCAATATAAGAATATGCTATGCGCAAACGTCAAACACAGCAATCGGTCTCAAATCCTTCCACAAACAAGGTGAACAGACAAATGCATCAATTGCGAGCATTGTTACAAATCTAGAATATTTAAAGATGTGCAGGAGGTTTTTATCTTGAAGTTATAAGCAAACAAAAAAAATAAACAAGCATTGGCTCAAACTTTATACATAGAGAATGCCCCCAAAACGAATAAAACAAACAAGATAGAAATGAAGTGCCGTGTCCCATTGAACTCATCTTGTTCATCTTTTTCAACATATCAAGATGAACCAGCTGATCCAATTATCCACTCGGCTGTGACTAAATCAAAAAGGGGAAGTAACAAGTAAGAACACAGCTCACAAAAATAAACTGAAGTTTTCGATTTCTGCCTTGGAATTCCGGCGTAGAATGGGAATAGGTTAAGACTTTCGGGTACCATCAAAACTTATCAAGAGGTTGTGCTGGCTACTTTAGGACTCGAGCCAGTTCGAATGTCAGGAACGAACGGAGGCGGAGGGTGGCAGTAAAAAGACAGAAGGAAGGAAAATGGCAGGGGGTTCTGTCTGCGGTTACTGGCAGAATGAAAAGGGCAGAGCGTGTCTTTTGAACTCCCGGCCTCCAGCATACGCTCCACGCCTTCCGCTGTGCTTTGAAAGAAGCCAGCAGCACTGCGTGGTGCAGAACAAGAAGCCAGCAGCACTAACGAGCATCATTTAATGACCAGCACTGCGTGGTGCAGAACAAATCTGGGCACCCAACACATTGATTGAAAATAAAAGAGAATAAAGGCAGACAGACATAGGTTTAAAGATTTCTTCATGTCCAACGAAAGCAGAGACAAGAGAGACAAGCACCTTGTCTGCAAGTGGGGCCAGATAAAGCACCACTTGCAGGAAGCAGGATACTATAGAACTCCCTGAAGAGTACAATCCCAATGGTCATCCTCTGGTACCAAGGACAAGTTTTCTTATTATACTCACAATGGTTGCTCAATGGTATCAAGAACAACTTGGCTTTGCGCCATCTTATTCTTCTAAGACGCATCATTTCATGAAACAAATCTTAAAGGCAATAAAAGTGTCTGGATGATATATCAAGCACCCACAAAACTTTAAGTATAAGTAGGGGAATAATGCTTTTCATGATTAGGCAAGAGACCTTGTCAAGTTATTTATAAAAACCTGTTTTAAGAAATTGTTAAAAAACCTAATAATTCTTTATTTTCTCGTAAGCAACAAACAAATGTAAATCAGGCAAAAAACAAGATATGGTCCTAGTTAATAACATATATAAACATATGATTCAAGAGTTACAAGCCCTTTTAGATAATTTTCAATAAAAAAAAAATGGGGCCTGTACCCAGATGTCGTTCATCTCCATGCATTTTAGTGCATCATTGGCTGCCACTTTTTTCACTGGGGGAAACTTTTTGCAAGTTGCTGATAACTTTTTACAACTTTTGAATCAGGTAATGGTAAGTTCTGAAACTTTGGCATCTGGTCCCAACTGCTAGGGTGACATTACTTGAGATTCTTTCTTACGCTGGAAAAATTCCATCATAGGATGTGTCAGTATAGAATGAGTGTTGGCACTCAGCTTTCTCGTGCGACCAAGTTTATCCCACATAGATATTACACAGAAAATATACATTGAATAGCATTGCCTGCAGGGGTTGGAGGCTTACCTATATACATGGAAGAACTCTCCTTCCTGACATGGTCGTCAATGTAGGTCGTTCCCAAGGTGAAGATTGGAGTCCCCCCACATCCAATCAGAATTTGGGCAGTCATAAATATAAAAATATACAGGGCATTGGAAGAGCTCCCATCTATGCAGGTCTGCTCCGCTTCAGGCAACAGGGGCGGGTTGATAAAGTGGCTGCTGAAAAATGACAAAATGTAACGAGGCAAAAGTAATTTCACATGGTTTCCAACTGTTCTGGTTTGTTAATGGGAAAAGTTGACTGAATAAAATTTTATTGGCATTCTTCTTCCACTGAGAACAAGGTGCCTTACTTATAAATATCAAAACACAAGTTTTGGGTTTGTAATGTACATATCCAATCACTGTCATTAGTTCAGGTGTGAAAAGGTTGAGCATGAGGGCAGACTGGTGAAAGGAAGTTCAGCTCACCCAAATAAAAGTTAATTTAGTCACCATCACCTTGGTTATCTGCCACTGCCTGACTGTCATTTGTTTTAGGGAGAGATGGAAGCAGTAGTTGCATGGAAAGTAACTTGAGAATAAACTTGGGTAAAGTTTCACTTTACCTTTCGAAAGCTCATTTTTTAATAAGCAAAATGCTTGGTGGCACTCATAAAGTACAACCTAAGTGAAAGATATATTTTGAAATACAATCAGGATTAATGAAAGGAGAAAAATTTTGCAGTCGTGCTTTTCTCCCTCCTGGAAGTATTGTAGTGATAGCACATAAGAGCCCCTCATATGAGTCCTAGACTCCTTCTAAGCCTCGCTTGGAAGGTGTAACCAGTGGAGCATGGGGTAGTAATTTTAACACTTTAACCTTGCATTATGTAAAAATATGGATTCAGCTAGTTCCAAAAGGCAAACCATAAAAATGCGTTTGGAGTAAGTGTAGGAACTAAGACTTCAGCTTATAGAAAAAGAATACAGAAAAGTAAAAAAAGTAAAAGATAACATGGCAGCTGGTCTGCCATTTCTATGCAGTAACAGAAAGAAGCTAGGCTCACCTGGCATGTTCTGGCACCATGGCAGCTGTAGGCATTTGGCATGTGTTCTCATCCTCAATGCGAGTGACATTCACTTTATAAATACTTGGCGAGCTTACTTGGTCCATGAAATAAGGAAGTGAGAACACAAATGACCCAATGGCCATCACTATGGTACCTGGAAGGAAGCACAAGCAAAATTATATCGAAGCTGCAGTCCTGATACACGCCAATTCTATTGAATTACTACAATATCAGTTGCCAAATGACACAATTCTAAATACATTGCAGGACTGAAACTTTTGTTGCATAAATTCGTAATTGAAGGATTGCAAAAGATAGTATATTTGCAGACTTAGCATTTCATATATTTTCCACAGCACCCTCTTTTGAGACATTTTGTGGGAAAGGTATGTATCTTGCCATCCAGGTTAAACTGGCCAATGCACTCCATATTAATAAGCATGGGACATTTATTTCCCTGGTTAATTCCTAGCTATTATCTTCTATTAACACAACTGGTGAAAACTGAATCACCACAAGATATATGCTGTTTAGAAGCCTTTTACCTGTAACCAGCACCAAAGTATTAGGCACTTTACTCTGTGACCTGGAAGTGTATGTGTGTGTTTTGATACCTGGCACATACCTAACATTCTTGGAGCTGAAAGGATTAGTAGATGCAAAACTGAGTTGATCGAACCTATGCAGAAACTGTGATAATGTTAATTTATCCTCCCCTTCTCTTCACTGCCTTCTTTTTGCGACCTGAAGTGACCTTTAGCTGGTGTACTACATTTTCCATGCTCTTCACAACACAGAGGAACTAGACTTAACAACAATGATTAAATGAATAGTGGGCCACTTACCCTTGCCAATCCAGACAGGAATGTGACGATGGCTCCCCAGGTAGCTCACAAAAATAATGGTAAACAGATTCCCAATCTCAAATGAACTTGATATTGCCCCTGAAACTCGACTAGGGATGTCAAACCTCTTCTCAATTGTAGTAATTACACTGTAATAAAAAAAGGAATGAGGAGATATAATTAGTTTAAAAGGCACTTACAAAAAGTAGTAAGTCTAAATCTGGTATTTTAAACATATTTAGACTGCACTTAATTATTTATGCATTCAGAGTACTACTCCCAATGGCTGAGAGCATGAAGTTGGGGAGTGTATTTCTGACTGAAAGTGGATAATCAAAAGAATACACCGATAAAAAAAAAAAAGCAGTTTATGATAACAAGAAACTAGCATGCAATAAAAGCATCAGACAAAAAACATGGCTAAAAAGAAACTGAACCCTCACAAATGACTCTAGCCATATATAATATGGTCTGAATAATATTACTCTAAATGAAACATCTAATGACAGCAGTGACAGCTAAAAATTCTACTCTGTACTTGGGTAAGAGAAAAATTGGCATATCATTGTGTCCGTTCTGCATCAGCAGTTCTAGTGTTCCATCAACAGCTACAAAGCACAGCATTATTTAAATATTCTTAAAAAAAACAAGGCATACTCTATTCATGGTAAAACAGAGCAAGTAAATGAGGACGAAGGACAGCACTTGGTTCTGTTTGTTCTTCGACTTCATCCTTGTTTAATTTGTACGGCTTTTGCAATGAACAAATACCAACGTGGCTGGGCATCTACTAAAGACTTTTAAACCTATTAATTGCTGCCCCATTTAATGTCTTAATATTCCAATTAATGGGTTCCATTGGCCTTCAGGTATGGTATCTAAAGAAATTTCTGAAGCTACATACTACATATTTTGCATTTACTATTTCCTGCTATGCCCTCAATGGTGCAATGAAGTTTATTTAAAACTTCATGCTAAACTGCCACAAAAAAAAGCCCAAAGACAAGCAATTTTAAAAATGAAATATTTTTGCATCCATATAACTTTATAACAACTTTGGATGACAACCGTACGGAATGCTGAAGTGGTTTATTGTGGAATATAATAATGTTGTCTCATAAAATAAAAAAAAAATGTGCATAAGTATTAAAGCGGGCATTTTTACTTTCTCCTCAAAATTTCTAACTTGGAATCTAACTGATCAACTAGTAGATAAAAATTAATCATGATTAAAGTATGAATTAATTAATTGGATGGTTAATCGATCGATTGCCTTGCCCTAGATGCTAACTAACCTAACTGTCCATTCTCTTGAAGACATACTCAATGACTCCTCTGACTCCCCCAATTCTGAAAAGGAAATGAGGTATGAGACAGGAAAATGTGCTATGCCTACCTATTTACATATCCCGTGGACAGTGCCTGCTGTAGGGTGACCAGCATGCAGGCCAGGAACACAAACACCCGGATGTTGGCGAAGTACTGGAGCGAGCGTGGACGGAACCTCAAGATACCACACTCCCTCAAGTTTGGGTCCACCTCATCTGGAAGGAAAGAGAAAGAGATATTGGTGAAGCGTTTTTCTAGACTAGTTGGTGCAGTTAACTGAAAATAAAATACATGCCTGCCCTTTCACAAATAACTATAGTAGTTGAAAGTTATTGCCTGCCCTGTCTTGCTAGTTCGTATCTCAAATGTGCCATTTTATATGTAGTAGAAAAAGATGCCCATCATGGGTCCAGAGTGAGAAATCATAGAGTAGATAGCACTACTTGATGCTTTCATATGTATTATATCATACGTATCAAATAAAAATTAATCATTCATTTCTAATTTTTTTTAACATACCACATGCCATGTGGCCAAAGCAGGTTGGTAGCTATACTACAAGCAAAAGCACCCTCAATCATTTATAATATTACAAATAATTTAGATTAAAGGTTAGCAGCATGATTATCAGGGCTTATATAGGGGGCATAGAGTAGATAAATTAATTGACAACAACAATACATAGTATAGTAAACAAAAGTTCTAGTTTGCAAGTATGTTTTATGAAAGCCTAACCTAGATCTGAAGTCAGGGAACAAAGGGGGGGGGGGTCACGTGACCCCCCCCCCCCCCCCCCCGGGGGCCACGTGGCACCCCCGACGTCACACGATCCCCCCTGAAGTCAGGTGACCTCAAGGAGTCGCCTATCCCTCAGTACGCTTCCATCCTCCTCCTCAAGTGTTGCGCTCTAATCCGGCGTCAAAAGGAATTTTTACTAACCGCACTCAGTACACCACCATTAACAATTCTAAAACCCCCTCGTGCTTTGTAACCTCAGGTGTCTCTCAGGGCAGTGTACTCGGGCCCTTACTTTTTTTAATCTACAATAATGACATTCACGAGCACATCTCGTCATCAATTCGTTTGTTTGCAGATAACCGCATAATTTACAGGCCTGTTCTCTCACCCGACGATCACCATACCTCGAAAACAGATATTGAACAAATTATTCAATGGTGCAGTAAATGGCAGATGACCCTAACTTTTGACAAATGCAAATTCCTTTCATTTTCTCGTTGTACTGTTCTTCGACCTTTGTCTTACCTTTCTGACGCCTCCCCTACTGCCATTTGCAGCTCAAATAAATATATCGGTATTCAATTAACATCCGACCTTTCATGGACGTTATACATCAATAATATATTAGCTAACACAAACTGTACCCTCGGCTTTTTGCGCCAAAACCCGAAGCCCGCAACGCCATAGATAAAACAACTAGCATAATTAACCTTAGTTTGGTTTAAGCTTGAATTCGCTTCTTCTGTATGGCATTCTTGGCAATCTTACCTAGTTGTAAAACTTGAATCCATCCAAAACAGAGCTCTGCACTTTATTTTTCCTGATTACTCACCATTCCCAAGCATACCTGGATCGTGCAAAATTGCTAATCTTCACACACTTTCATTAAGGCGCTGAGTGTCCCGTCTCTCTCTCCTTCACCGTAGCTCTCACCAGAACATGCCTCTTCGTGAACCGCTGCTTTTACCCCAAGGCAGATTTTCCCCCGCTTTGACCACTCCTGTAAGTTGCAACCTATTTTTTCTTCAACTAGTTCATACAGTAATTTATCTTTACCCTTGGCCATCGACGACTGGAACATACTACCAAACGACATTGTTACCATAACTGGCCCACATGAATTTGTTGTCTCTTTAGCCACGTTCATTGCTTTATCTGACTAATTCCTGAGTTAAGATTGTGTGCAAAATTGTTCAATTAAAAAAAAAAAAACTTTTTTTTTTGTGTAATGCTTGTAAGGGCCTTCAAGGATAATAAATTATGATGATGATGATGATGAAAAGAAGCATAAGCGCTTCAAGGACAGGGACAGAGAACAAGATGACACTGAGAGCTACTTGAAACTGGATTGTTCAAATAATCCAGTTGTAAGTAGCGTTTGGTGTCGTCTTAAAATACCTTACATATTATACTTTGTTGATATAATAATAATAATTATTATATTAATAATAATTATATTCAATTAGTGTTTATTACAGTGTCCAGGAATACCCCCTAACTAGAAAAAGGCGTAGTATTCAGAATTTTTTTTTAACTTTTTTATAGTTTTGTTGAATGTTTAATCACATCGAATAGGTATAACTTTATTTATATAACAAAAAATGTCTTCATTTTCATAGAATAATTCAAGCTTGTGCGCTTTATTATTTTCGTAACTAAAGTAAAGAGAGCAATATTAAAAAAAACTTTATTAATTCAGTTTATTAAAGGAATAATAAAAAAAAAATGCTTTAGTAGGTAGTGCTCGAAATTCAAGTGCCCTAAGTCATGCTCAGAATAAACACTTCACATTCATAAAGCATAACATGAAATTACAGTGATGTGATTGGTCTGAGTCATTTCAGAGTATAAGCACACACTTATATGTTGGCCAATATTGGCAACGACTTACGGTTCCTGTTTCTGACGTCACAACCAAGATTACGCGGAGAGCAAGTCGTCTGTTTCTAGCGCGGGTGTTGCGGTGACGTCAAAACGACGCCGAGTTCTGATTGGAAGGCTAGTGGGTAGACCTCAATGCTTGATGCCTCGAGGTCTACCCACTATCTTTTTCAGTCAGCCAATAAGAGCTTGGCGTTCTGACATCATCGCAACCACTTTGCAAGTAGCAGACGAACTTCCGCTCCACATAGGTAGCGAGCGACAAGTTCGATGGTGCGCAAAAAGCGGCAAGGTGGAAGCCTAGTCCACCACGTCCCTAAATCTACACCGTCAGAGATAAAAGTCCAACTTTGCTTTAATTTCCGTCGAAGAGATCAGAAATAATCCTACTCAAAACGTCATAGTGAGCGTTTGATTAGTCGCGGAAGGCCAATCACAGCGACGCTTTTGGTTGCACACGTCGCCAATACCTGATGCTTGAGTGTGTACCACTTCGCTCTGGAGGAGTGGTTTCCCCTTAACACACGATTGCGATGCGGCGTAGCGAGGTACGCAAAATCGTATTGACTGCCTTCTTCACGGCTATCGCTCCGCTGTAGTACATCCGTGCGCAGTGGGAAGATCGCTCAACGAAACTAACTAGTCCGCCAGTATTGCGAATTATGGCGAAGTATTGCGGAACTTCGGAACACTCTCTGTGTTTGATAGAGGTATCAAATAGAATAACGTAATTCGAGGCAATAGTCAGAAGTTCTGAAAATTCGCACATGCCGACCGCAATGATTCGGCCGTGTTGCGGGGCCCGGCGGGGCTTGACTATAATATTTTCGGTTATAATAAAGTGAAACTAGGTTTTGACATAATGCTGGCAACAATTCCCCAGATTTTGGCGAAATGTAGCGGGATGTAGCAGAGTAAGCACTTCGGAGCACCGGCGTATCACTGAAATTGGCATCCGTTTATACCCCGCTTACGTAACTATTTCCTCCGTAACCCCCACTCCTCCCCTCCGGCCTGACACAACGACCTACTGATTTCTATGACAATTTGCTGGGATCGCGCACCCCCCTTGGTCGCTGCAGCACAAGTGCGGCCACCGAACAGACATCTTGGGACAAGAAAATCGACTTTTTGGAGCGTTGTGGGGGCTCGGCGGCAGCGTGCTGAAGACACGTTTTCTGCTCGATAGACGTCATTCGTAGGATAAGTTTGTTAAAACCCCTCATAAAAGGTGAGATATGCCTTTGAGAGTATGTATATGTACGAAAACCGAGAAAATAAACCTCTCCTTCAGTTTACATCTCCACATTTGAAGCTTCTAAAAAGAGGCATAGTAAAGCCTCACCAATGCCCTTAGCTAGTCACGCTTTCAAAGTAAGCTTAGATGCACAAATCTCTAGGTTACGATCGGCGGGGCACCCTACATGCTTATTAACATCTGTAGCAAAAGATCTTCAGAAAATAAGAAATGGTGAACCTAAACAATGCGACTTAAGAGACAAAAAGAAAAAGACAGCTGTTATTCCCTATATACATAAGGTTTTACACGATCCTAAAAGATGGGAAATCGCATTAGCATTAACGTCGCCTTCTCAGCACCAAACAAGCTGTCTAGTCTGTGTAGGAAAGTAAACCACACTGCACACCGTCAATTCGCCTGCACAAAAAAACACCGAACATGCTTTGTGCCTTGCTCTGAAGGAGTGGTTTATTCTATTCCACTCTCGTCTGGTAAGAAATATGTCGGACGAACAGGTCGGTGTTTGAACGATCGATTAAGAGAACACCATTATAACACCCACAAAGTCATTTCCGGACATCTCGGCATCCACGGCAGGGATTGCGGGTGCTCAGCAGATTTAGAGAATGTACTGTCATAGCTAGGAGTAGGAGCCAGCTCACCAGAGAAATAATAGAGGCACAGATGAACGCGAGCCTAGAAGATAATTGAGTCAGTATACCCCATCCCTAATGCTACCTGAAAAAGAAGTAGAATATTTAGCGCGATGATCGCAATGGCTTGTGAGAAGAATTTAAGTTTTTCCTTGTTTTCATCTATAACCGATGTGGTATTTAAACTAGTTTCGTGAAGAGGAAGTGTAGGAAGAATACACAGAAGTTTAAGTCAGCGCTTGTGCCTCTCTGCCTTCGCACGCTTGGGTACCGCAGTTAATTCACGTGCAGTTGATGATGAAAACGACCGGATCCACTTCGCGGTTGCGATTCGAATGCTAGTATGGAGGCAGCCTAATTAGAGCCTCTTTAATAATCTCAACTAATTAGGGGGCCTATTCCAGGAGCGCCGTTTGATCACGAATATCCTCCAGCAATATGCTGAATTATGTACAAGTTGAAAAAATAATGTTAGTGAAGGTATGTGGGTATCGCGTGAATTTAAAAATATTCCATAACGGGTATCACTGCTGTATTGTAGAGGTTATCACAGTAGCCTGTCAGAAAGCTCGAGAATGCGCTTCATTTTATTATTATAACCCTTGCAAAAAAAAAAAAAAAAGGAACGCACTTGGGTTTGGCATACGCGGCAGTTTTATTGGACAATCCAGAGATTGGAACTTGTCACGTGAACTTCTGGTTGGGAGAACCAACGCGCGGAGCAAGTCATGTAGCATGCGTGGAACGCTAGATCGTCTAACATGACCCGCACACGCTGTATTACATGACCCCTAAAATGCACTACAGCTCAAGACACGTGCAGTCAAGGACACACACACACACACAAATGTTTTTGTTGCGCCAGTTTTTCCGAGAATGACGCCCGCCGCCGTTTGAAGGCCGAAAGGGCTACGCGACGGGTTCTCTCGCAAAAACTCGCATCAGCGAAGACGAGCATTCGGAGCAAGCTCGCGTTCCCACTCGGCGCGGATTACGACGGGATTTGTTGCCGCCAGCTAATTAAGCCTCCGACTTCCACGCCGCGGCTTGCCGTCGGGCCGACCGCGACCTCGAGCTGTCAAAAAAGTAAAACACACACAAAAAAACGAGCAAACCGGCCGAGTGGCGACGTTCACGACACGGGAAATAGGCGACCCTCCGAAGGACGAAACATTCCCCCACCAGGAGGCTGCTAATGAAGTTTTCTCATCCTAGCTGTGCGTTGGGTTCGCGCCAACGTCCAATTTAGAGCCACGCTGCGAGATTACGGTTCGGCCAAACCCACGTGGCACCAATCGTCAGTGCAAACAAAACCGAAACCAAAGCACGACCGTTTGTATTCGCCTTCCGGCTCCCCGTTTGATCTCGGCTAATGCCACTTAATCAAATGACAACACAGCGAACAAAATCATTCGGCCAAACGATTATTTTAACGAGTCGAACGACTGTTTCATCGAATGACGTCTCAGTGAATCGAATGCTCGTTTCATCGAATATAGTTTCGGCGATTACTGTATGCCGGTTTTGCTCGCGCTTTGCAAAAACGAACTGGCGTGCTCTAAACTTCTCCTGCTGGCACCGGTGATGCTCGCTGCTTCCCGATATCCGCAGCGCCAAGTTCGCAAAGACGTCCTCCATCTCCGAAGTTTCGCCGATGCTTCGTGTAAAGAACAACATAAAATCACTCCAGTCCTCGCTGCGCTCGCACATCACAAATACTCAGAATACCGCCTTCCCTTTTCAAGTCTTTTAGATTATCGTTCCGCATAAACAGCGTTCTCCGAAGCACTCGCTCCAGGCGTGCGCTCCACAGAATGCTTCGAAATGGCAGCGTGCGCTCAAGATAGCAACCATTTCGTCCCACGAAAACACGATCTGCTAAAGCTCTCGTTTTAAACAGTACGCGCCAAAAGCGTAACCTGTAAATAAAGAAGCCCACAGAAAGTATATAGGTGATGCTGTACCATCGCGTATAATAAGTATATAAAAAACCAAGCTGTCTGGACCCTTCAACCTGGTTGAGCTGCAGAAATCTCTTATAATATTATCATTCTTGTACACCTTCAAAGATGCTAAAAAATGCTATAAACAGCCCCGCTGACTCCGAGCTAAATCCTGGTTTTGATTGTTGTGAATTCTCTGCCTTTTTAAGCAATTCCTGCTAAAACAACAATCACGAGAGTGATAATATTGTAAGAGATTTCTGCAGCTCAGCCAGGTTAAAAGGTGGATTGCATACACAGTATCGAAAACGCCGACATTGACGAGAAACAAAGTAGCAAACCGGGACAAAATACCCCAGGTTAACTGCTTTGTCTTCCATTCTGCCCTTTCTGCCTTCCTTCCTACACGACGCTTGTTCAGGGTGACTCCCAAACAAAACTGCGTAACCATCGAATTGGACGAAATTACCGATCATTCGGGAGATCGTTCCCACGATTCCTCGAGTGCGGGTCGGGGCACTTGGGGATTTAGCAATTCAAAACCGGTGTCTCTCCTAACTTACTCTAACCGTCATTCGATGCCGAGGCTCTTCCGTGTCAGAGGTCTCGAAGCAGGATACGTGCGAAAAGAACACGGTCTCAAAAACGCAGTAACGCCACTATAAGGAAGGAACAACGCGTTGTAGGCCAGTATGGTAATTCTTAGATTTTCCTTTCAACAAATATCGTCAAAATGCACGCTCGTATAAGACTGCGAGGTTTTCCTGCGAGAGTTCGGTGCGTCCTTTTGAACGTTGTTGACCGCGCCAAATCAGTGACTTTTCAACGTTGACTTGGACTTGAAAAACAAAGAAAGCAAATCTGGGTGGGATCATCGAGCATTATGATTTCGTTAGTACTGCAAATATCTTCGAGCGAATCATTGTGCCACGCGCGTTATGATAGAAAACGTAGAAAGAGCGACCGAGAAGAAAGAAGGATGGAACCCGTTTGTAATCCGATTTTGAAACTTTTCTTTGTCTTCTATCTTTCTCACTGATACATGCTATGGCTGGAAACTTTATTTGGAGGTTTCATGGATATTACCAAAAATGTAATTTAATTGAATTAATGCTTAAGGTAACCAAAAGAGGCCATGTTGCTTTAAAACCTTTGAGGAAAAACGCTGCTCCAATATTTTCCACCGTATGTCGCGGTGACGGCATCGCGGCCAGTAATCGCGTTCTGCACGCTGCCATGTACACATCGCGCCACTGGTAGCGCGAACACGACATCGGCGCATTTCGCATTTTACTTTTAAATAGTATTAGCGAGCACGAAATGTTTTCGCTTACATTATAGTACTAAATAAGCTCTTTCCGTAGCAATAATAACTTGGATGACATCCCTTGGTTTCAAAGAGAAAAATTGAAAAAACCGGCGATCGCTTGTTCGCGCTAACAGTGGCTGAGTTTACATGGATGCGATCGTAGCGAATCGAATCGAGATTAACCGCCTATGATTGGGTAGACGAGGAAGGGAAAGGAGGATAGCGGGCGCGTGACTGGTCACATCTCGATTCGATGCGCCATGGTCGCATCCATGGAAACGTAGCCAGAGTCGCGCTCTGTATGTCTACTAGGCTGTGGGACGCGTTCTGGACATGCGCAGTAGCTCTCTTCCGCGGAATAGCAGGCGACGCGTCCACGGCCCACTGACTCAGACTTTTTCACCTGGATGATAAGGTGCACACCTCTGGGCAACCTATGAGCTGAAAACTTCGATCTGGATTCTTACTGATGCGCCTGGAGTTCCCGCAAGCTTTAATCTCTCTCAAATTGTCCAAAGTGTTTAAACCCGGGGGGCTATGCAAGACGGCAGGACGAGGCACATGGCCGCCTGCTGCGATTGGTCAGCGGCGTGGCGCTGACCAATCGCAGCAGGTCCACGGTCAGACTGCTAATACATCGCACAAAAGACAGTCGGCAGACAAGTGTCTGATGTCTTCCCTGCATCGTTGGTTATACTGTGTGCAGACCCGTTCCGAAGATGCTTGAGGAGCGTGGGTAGATAATGTTGTCACCATGTGTACAGCGAACACTCTGACTTCTGCACGGCGTGTACGAGCAGTGCGGCTGCGGCGTTAGTGAAAGTCCCTCGGACTCACCCAGCAGCTCGGCTCGTAGCCTCTCGCCGCGCAGCTCGCCGGCCCTCGCGAAGTCCGCCGTGCTGCTGTACGTCACTTCGGCCAGGTGGTGGTGGTGGTGGGGCAGCGCCATGGCCGTCGTCAGCGCCAAGTGGCGAAAGTCGGCCGCCCCGCCGGCCGTCGTCAGCGCCAGCGTGGACTCGGACTGGGCGAGCGGCGGCAGCGTGCAGTGGTGCGCGTACAGGCCCATGGTCGTGTAGATGCTCAGGTCCCGCTGGCAGTAGTTGCCCGCACTCTTGGTCCTCCGGTGTCCGCGGGCCCAGTGCGGGGCGCTGGGCGCCGGGAAGTGCGAGTCGTCCCGGGACATGAAGCAGGGCGCCATCTTGGCGCTCAGGTCCAGGCAGCTGGACGCCATCGTGCTTGATCGTCTCGTGCGGCGCTAGGGTTCGCGAGAGTCTCGGCCCCAGGGCGCTAGGCGGACGTCCGCCTTAGGAGTCCTCGGAACCGGAGGTCTGGCGCCGGTCCGGTTGTCATCACGGCTGCGGACCGCGCCTGTGCAGAAGAGGACAAAGTCGTTTTGTATACACTCGCGCCGTAGCTCGAGGCCCGCCGCGCACACATCGCTTCCTCCAACTCGCACGCTGTCGCTAGCTCGTATCTGCGACATCTCAGTCGCACGCGCGACTACAGTGTACGTAGAACCCGTACGGTCAGTGGATAAGCACAGCGAACCACAAAGCTAGATGCCTGAACGCTATAAGCCCTATTGTAAGATAGAGTAATGTTACAATAGGAGGAGTGTAGGAGAGTTCCACCCCGATAAACAACGTCCTCTTCAATGCCCAATGCGTAGAGGCGCGCTATAATCGGTTACAGGTTAAAGGGGCACTAAACCCCTTTCTAAGATAGTCTATTATGTGTGCTCATAACTCAATCTATGGGTTCTAAACATTTAAAAAACATTGCACTTATACGTGACCGATTTTAATTTAAAAAATCAGCCAAGCATAAATGTAATGTTTGGTTTGTCTAGTGTCTTAGGGTGCTTATAGAGCCCGTAGATTGAGTTACGACCATAAATAGGCTATAGCACAAAGTGGTTTAGTGCCCCTTTAATAGGTCAGAGGACGCTTCTCCCACCCCTTTCCACTTTAGAAGGACGAACGTTGGGGAGGAGACAACCTCCTCTGCAGCGCTCATTCTGCTAAAATGGGAAGAGGCGGGAGGAGCTTCCCCTGAACCGATCACTAACCATAAGTATCAGGCGGAGCATTGATTTTGCTTACGCAAACCTTTGAAAAATAAGTGCTGACAAATGTTTTCTCACTTTCCGTGACGTCATCAAAGTGGTGCGTCCTTACGAAGTGGTGTAGTCAAGTTAGTATTTCACTGTATATTGGCTATTATACGGGGGATTTTCAAGCTTAAAGCGACAGTTAATACGCACCTTCGGGCAGAGATGTAATGGACGACAACTAATTCGGAGAAATCAGAACACGTCCATGTTGCATTTTGAACAATTCAATAGCGACGGTATATCACGCCTCCGAGACATCGCGAGCAGCTTTGAGGCTACGACGATTGTTCCAGAAACCCGGTAGGGACAAACCAAATCATAAGCAGTTACGTACTGAGGATTCCTAAGTGCAGTAACCTGAGCAAAAGTACACACACGTACCAAAAAAAAAAAAAACTATAAAAAAAAAAAAGTTTCTAGAAGCGGCGCTTTTACACAGAACTCGCCCCAATCTTCCGCTATAGAATGCAGAGAAGCTGGCTTCTCGAACCGTGGCCGACGACATGCGTGTCCGGAATGCCCCAGATACGGAACTCGGGCGGAAATCTAAATCCAAGATCCGCGCAAATTTACGTCATGGTGGCATCACGGCGCGTGAAACGCGAGCTCGCAGGCTGTGCTCGAATAAAAAAGACTCACTCGGAGCACACAAAAGAAGGTCCGTGTGCGGTAAGGTCAAAAACATCATCAAATACAAATCCGGTGTTCAAGAGAGAGAGAGAGAGAGAGAGAGAAAAAAAAACGGTCTGTTGCGCGCTTCGCAAAAACAAACCTCGCGGATTCAAGGGCGACGGTCGGTGCACGAGGCTGGAGATGAAATGGGTTAGCGGGGCCGCCGGGGCCGACGTAGAATGAGACGAGAAACAGCAGGACGAGATTGCAGAGCAACGATCACAGGAATGCGCAAATCCATGTATGACACAATCGGTAAATCTGCTCGTTCTTCCGACGCTGGTACCGCTTGCCTGTTTTCGTCGATACAGCCACTGACAGAATTGAAACGATAGGGCGTGTCTTTAGAACGCCCGGCCCCCAGCACGCGCTCCATTCCTTCCGCCGCGCTTTGGCTGTGCGCGAGGTGCACGAGAGGCCCAAGAGTTGTCCAAGGTAGGAAGCCCGCGCTGGAGGCGGGGCAACTGAAGCTCCGCCCTCTCATCTTGTCAATGACCATAGCTTAAAACTAGTAATTGCTCGCAAGAGGAGCCACGAAAACTGCCTCGAGAAATACACGGGCCATGCGCATGAAAAGTTATAGACTGGAAAGTTGCAGGTGCGATCTAGAACACAGAGCAGCGCACGCAAACGAAGACACTCATACACGGGTAGACAGACAGAGAGAAACACACACACAAACAAACACAACGCACACACATTGGTGCGCGCGAAGAAATAAGCACGTGGAGAGCACATGTACATACGACCAGAAACAGATATCCAGCGCTTATCACCCGGGCAAAAAATGCCGAGTCACTGAGGTGGGGGGCGGCGGAGAAAAGCTCACCGGAGAAAAGCTCACCGGAGAAAAGCTCACCGGAGAAAAGCTCACCGGAGATAAGCTCACCGGAGATAAGCTCACCGGAGATAAGCTCACCGGAGATAAGCTCACCGCAAAACCGGCAGATGCGGAGAAAAGCTCACCGGCCTTTGAACGGATGCGGAGAAAAGCTCACCCATTCTTTTTTTTAGCTTAGCGGATTTTGCGTTAAATTTTGCTATTTAACATAATTCGCATTCGTCACTTCATTAAAAAATGTCCACTTTTTTGTAATATTCTTGAAGTTCATTGTGCATATTTACTAATTCATCAGAAATTAGTAATCACCCATTCTGTATATTAATGAAGCCGCAAGTATAAAATCAAAACATCGTACACCGGTAAAAAACAAAAAAAAAAAAAAAAACAATTTATTGACAACTGGCAGTGTGCCGTCGGTAGCTCTGTCAAATAAAGAGGTTTGTTTTTTGCGAGCTAATATGAATAGCGGCGTGTGAACCGTTTCAATTCCAAATATTGTGTAGTGCCTAATAGATAAGTAGGTGTTTGTTGATGTAATCAGTGTCGGCTACGCTGTTTTCTTTCTGTTAATTTCACTAACAAAACTTTAGTTGCGAGAACAGATTCGTCCTGTCGTGTTTGTTGCCTCCACTCCGTGTTCGTCATTTGAGCGGCTTTCATCATGTATAACATTTACCAACTCGCCCTATTCGCTACCTTACAAAGGACTACTTCTTATATAGGTCACGAGTAACAACGGTGCCAGTGGGCAGCTCGTAAGGTCATGGGTGGCTCACCGTAGAAGGGCACTATCACACAAAGGCAGCGTGTTGAAACACCAGCACGAACGGCTAAAAAACGTGCTTCTCCGTAAAAAAAAAAAAAAAAAAAAAAAAAAAGCCTCGATATTTTTTTGACCGTTCTATCCTGTTTTCAAAGGTTAACAAAAGCTTCAAAAAGAATTTCAGGCACAGCGTTTCAGGCACCGCATACAATTTCGGATTTTCGGCATTTACAGTTTTGATTTTTAGGTTTTAGGCAGACATTATTGACTTTTCAAAACTTTTCCTGTTCTTCAAGTTCATAAAGTTTTGAGTTGGGCTTTCGTTGTCTACAGAGTAAGCCACAGAAAACACTCGCCCGCAATTATTCATTTGGGAGCAATGTACCCAATAAGCTTAACAAATAATACAAAAAGGCCATTTTCTTTTGCACAAAGCTGACGAATTTTAATGATAATAAATTTATATATGTTACACGTGATTCAACAGCCTCCATATAAAAAGAAGAAAAAAAAAACAGTGAGCTTTTCTCCGCATACGCTCAATGGCCGGTGAGCTTTTCTCCGCATCCGCCCGTTCTGCGATGAGCTTTTCTCCGGTGAGCTTATCTCCGGTGAGCTTATCTCCGGTGAGCATTTCTCCGGTGAGCTTTTCTCCGGTGAGCTTTTCTCCGGTGAGCTTTTCTCCGGGATTCGAGGTGAAGACGCACGCGCAGCGTAGGATATACCGCACAGCAGAGCAACAGCGCATGATCAGAAGGCGTTCCACAGCCCAGCAGACAAAGATGGCAGCGCGCAGAGGGCGATTTTCGGAAAGGTCTATGACACCAGCACGTTCGCACGCCCGCAAAAATACAGATAACACTCGTTCTATAATCATTTTTCTTTTCTGTATACTCGTTTCGAGAAGTGCTCATTATGGGTCTCTGAGCCGCCGTTAGGGCGACAGCAACAGCTGCCACGATCCAATCGTATACGGGCCTTGTTCGAGAGAAAAAAGCAAACAAAGAGGGCCGTATACGCGATACCGCTATCCTGAACGGCGTTTGATGAGGATCGTATCAAGAAACGGCGCCCATTGTAGCGCTTTACGCGCGACCCGCAAACAGGGCCTCCGTTACAGCAATCGGTATCCTTTACGAGGGCGTAAAGTACCGATCGCGATGTCCAGCGACACTCGTTCGAGAAAAAGAAACGCAAGCGGAACGAAGCCATACAAAGGCGGCAAGGAAACACGACAGTTGTGGAGGCCCCTGTGTTCAAACCCCTTGGCTGGCGTTTTCGTTCTGGATGATCAGCGTGCCGGCGAGCGGTCGTGTGACTACCGCGTGATGAACGTGAAAGATCTCCGGCTATACTATGTTCGCCCTTACGTGTCCGCCGGACCGATCAGCCGCCTCCATTTCGTCGCCTCACCCGACTCTAATAGCACCTGGATATAGGCGAGAGCGCGATCACGAGACGAAAGAGATGTGTATGACTCAAACAACGAGGACTTAGCTTTTACCGCAGTCTCAGCTTAAGGGTGAACCGAGTGTATAGCAGCCATAGTCAGTGACAGGTTAAGGGTATAAGGTGGAAGCTCCTCCCACCTCTTTCCCCTTTAGCAGAGCGAACGCTGGAGAGGAGGCGACCTCGTCCCAAGCGTTCGCTCTGCTAAAGTGGAAAGAGGTGGGAGGAGCTTCCACTTAACCTCTCACCGACTATAGTGTTACTCCAGTGTCTCAATGGGCTTAAAACGCCTTAAGCCCACTGAGAAAGGGCTTTGAAAATAAAGGCATGCGCCAGTCATTTATACCCCCCCCCCCTCCCACACACACACACACACACAAACACATGACAATCCTGGATAAATCCCTGGCATCACTCAAGAATACTTGGAGAGGAGGAACAACGGGACTAATCAGAAGAGGAAACTGTCAGAACAAATGAGAATCGTGAAAGCTCAACAGACGCCGCGGCCTTGTGCTACCTGAGCT